TACGTTTGCTGGGCAGCGGAGGTAGACACACATACTCTCCAGCACGTTTCAGATGTGCGTTATCAGAAACTTCACAAATCATTACACATTATCCACGGCGCGTCATATCCTGGCCAGGTCGGCATTTGGTGTATAAGGCGTTCGGGCGCAGGCTCAGTTATGAATTTAGCGTTAGGGAGGAAGCCATTTCTGGGCAATAACCGGAAAGCAGGGCAACATATGCATGCACTATGCGTGTAAATCTAGAAGTACGAGAGATCAATTATAACTCCACGCCATTGGGTTGTGGGAACATCTTTCTTATTTGCGGCTTTTGGGCTTGATGCTGTGAGAACAAGTGGCACTCAAGTGCGGTTCAGGTATAGGGTGGCTAGGGAGAAAGAAAACTGAGAACTTCGATCCTCAATGATACAAAGACTTGGGTAACTTACTGGTAGTATAATTTATGATAATTTTAGTATACCTTTTACTGATTTTACTATGGTACCGTAATATTTATTGAGATCGGATATTTTCTTGCTCTCTAAGGGGTAGGTATCTTCATACGTGGTTATACTGATTCAATATAATGTAGGTAGTTAATGTGCCGAGAACTTGGGCACAACCTTTGGAAACCGAACAGACTGAGTACTATAGGTACTAAATACAAGGATTTGGTTGGCAAGAGAGGATGAAGTTTTGTGGCCCCTGAAAATGATACAGACTGAACCTGAATTAAGATGATAACCAAGCAAGCACAGAACTAAACAAACGTTTGTCGTGAAAACGAATGACAGTACAAATTGGTTCCGCACCTCCAAAATGACTGAATCTAGTGCTACAACATATCCAGAGAAGAACTAAGTATGATAGTAGTGGTTTTTGACAAATTTGCATGTACGGATCTTTAGCCATAAACACCGCCAGTAGAATAACCTCCTAAGCAGTCCCATCCTTTCTAACAGCCCGGAGGTATACGTGTTCGCAGAAAAGCGAGTCCCAGATAGACATCCATTTTCCAAAACAGCTCTCCAAACACCAAATGACAAAGAGAACGAAGCAGCAGGGTCAAGTTGGCTGTGTGCCTTGCCATGTGCCGCGGATCAGAATGTGCAAAGAAAGCACTAATGTCTACCCCTGATAAATATTCGTATGAACCAATAAGAAGTTTGTGTTGTCTTAAACAATGTTGTACACTCTCTTGGCAATCATATAGCATGCCAGACCAAAGAACAACAGACCAGCGGTGATCCAGAAGAACCACGTAAGGTCTCCTTCGTATTCCTGGCCTGGCACCCATACGTTCATACCCCAAAGACCCGTAATGATGTTCATGGGGAGCACAATCGTACCGAGAACAGTGAGCTTGCCGAGAACATCTGCCGTCTGTTCCTGACGCTCATTCATCCGTATGTTGATCTGTGCGAGGTAGTTACCGTGAGATCGAGCCAGTATTCTGTACATGTTAGCAAAATGTAGTTCCAATCGTAGAGAAAAGTCTTACTTTTCATAGTGACCCAGGTTGGCTGTCATTGTAACGATATGGTCTTGAATGTCACCGAGATACAAACCAATCTCAGACCGTGGCGCAACCTCCCACCGCTCATTGCAACGCTTAGCAAATCCCTTGATTACATCCGCCTTGTTGCCTAGCAGCCTGTATAGACTCATGACTCGCTTTCTGCAATCTCCCACTCGCCGAAGCATATCTGTGCTTGGATCTGAGTTTGTAAGTGCATCATCGTTCTTAGAGGAGGTCTCGTTAAGTCGCTTATCAGCAGACGAATGCAGCTTCAGAATGGCGTCGTCAATTTCGTCAACCTCGTCCTCAATATTCTGTATCAAGGGAGCAAACACGTCGGTAATGTCGTCGATAATAGCGTACGAGATCCAATCTGAAGAAAGAATGAGATAATCTTTCAGTTGCCGGATCCTGCGTCGGACATTGGCGGGATGAGGTGTCTTGGAGAAGTGAAAGCTGAGAACGCCTTCGCGAAATACTACCACATACATATCAACCGGCTCAAGAAAGTTATCACTGTTGTTGTCTTGGTCGAATGACCGGTAGTTGACGAAGTAATAATGTCGGAAGAGCTCGACCTTCTCGCGAGCCTCCTGAAGCATAATATCCTCTGCAGTAAGTGGGTGAATGCCAAAAGCTTTAGAAATGACCTTCATCTCAGGCTCAGTTGGGCAGAGGACATCAAGCCACCAGACTGGTCTTTCTCCGTACCTGACAGTCCTTTCCTTTGGTTCGCCCGAAGTGTTCTGAGAAACGTGAACACTTTCATCCGCAGACTTCCGTCCAGTAGGTGTAGCACGTCCGGATTCGCTTCTTGAAGCAACATGAGCGAGAGGATCCTTGAGTGGCGACGTAGTCCCTTCGCGCAAGTCGTGGTGATCATGAACTGTCGACAATGATGGCTGGCGCGTGTGGACTTTGGAGCTACCCTCTGGAGCAGTGCTGTAATGGCGCAAGCCTGTTGGAAGAGGTGTAGGTTCCATTTCGTCTTCGTCTGATTCGTCGTCTGATAGAACTCGAGGATCTGGAACAAACAGTTCCCGGAAGCCACCACCAGGCTGAACCAGCTCAGAGATAGTCTGACTGTGGATTGTGCTCTGGAACTCCTCGTTGAAATAGGTAAAACGATATGGGGACTCTTCGTCCGTCTGATACCATCCCTTACGCACAGGGCGCAAGCGGCCGTTGATGAGCTGCGGTTCTGTGATTCTCTTGACGCGGCGCTCCTCCGTTCGGTCCTCCTTTTCCATGTGGCTCCATTCCTCTAGCACAGATAAGTCAGGCCATTGGCCACGGCGGCGGCGCGTGCGATACTGTCGGTGCTCATGAGCCTGCGATTGTGTATCGTCATCTCCGAGCTCTGACATCCCAGGAGCAGGAAAGCAAACGTCTTGCTCAGCTCCGGTTGCCATTCGCCGGCCCATATCAGGGCGATTGTCACCCATGCCCCCCATGTCGGAGAGAATGTCGATGTCACCCATCATGCGATGCGGAGAGTCGTCGCGACTTGCCCCGAGCCCATCCCGAATCATAACATCACCCAAGCTTAGTTCTATACGGTCCGCGGTACCAAAAGTAGGCGAGCCTGGCATGGATGGAGGGGCGTTGACATCGTAGTTATCTCTTGCGCCAGACGAGGTTCCTAGGCGTGTCGTTGAAGACTTGATAGACGCGCGACGACTTCTCGTTTGGTTTGATCTTGCGTCACTTGCGCCGTAACCTGAAGTCACTGATTCGCCGAGCAATGGTGCATTTTCGTCCCACGGCGTATGGTCAGGATGCTCTTCCTCGGCAGAGACAGCTGGTATTGATCGTAGCCGGTTACTGGCTGAACCAGAGTAAGGTGAGACTGGTATGCCGCTAGCAGCTGGCGTCGTTGATGCTCGACGGGGACGCAATGGTTGATGGTCCCTAGAAGGTTTTGTTAGGAAATTGCCCTCAATATTCGTCCCGGCCAGTCTAGCTTACCGATGATCCAGCAATGCCTCACTATCTATACTGGTGTTGCTCAAGTTGGCTCTCGGAAGATTGAAGAACCCTTCTCCTGTGGCCTCGCGATCCTCGTCGTGATCATCATCATCCAATGCCGCAAAACTCTTTCTGCGCGTTCGCTTCTTCCTGCCGCCGCGATGGCCCTTCCTCTTCCTTGCCTTGGATGCGTTGGAGGTATTTGACGACTCAGGAGCCTGGAGTTGATTGGAGGTCGAAGCAGGGGGAGCCGCTTTGCTAGTGCTTGCTAGGTCGGCAAAACGATTGCTAGACATCGCGAGTACCTTCAATGGGCGAACGAGCGTTTTTGAGACGTATGAGAAGAGGAGAGAAGAAGGCCGAGGAGGAGAGGAAGACCACCAACGCCCGAAGTGCAATAGGGTGGGATTTCTCGCTTGGAGCTGCAAATGGAGAGGTAATGATGTCAGCTATCAATGGTTGACAGGGATAATATTTTAGTGTAGTTTCCACTAACACACAACCTTTAGATAGTGGAGGTCAAGAGCAGGCCAAGAATCACCTTATTTTTTAGAGTTAAGATATGGACGGGTTTTTCTAAACGGACTTCTCATCGCTTACACGCTGTCCTGTACAATATTGGTCGTGGTAAACGGCCGACGGCCACAATTGCTGTCCACGTGATCATTCATAGTAAATAGCCCGTGTACTAACTTTAGCGACGATCCAAGAGGGCGGGCTGCAAACAGACAGACCAGTAACCCATGGCGATGTACTTATAAGGTTGCTGTAAATAGCAACGGACCCCCACAGTCTGGGGTGATTCAATTATGGTCTTCAGTGATATATGGAGGTTACATACTTGTAGTACATACCTGTACGGTAGACTAAGGTCAAGTACTGGGTCGACAAGTACCTGCCTACCTACTAACTACCTAAGGTACTCATCGAACCACTTGAAGCTCCAACTTGTTCTGTCGTCAGTACTAGCATTAGTCTGAACATATCTACTAACCTACTAAGGTGTGCAAGTGATGCGACTAAACCACGATGCCTATCTCCATCTACAGCATCAATGGATTTCCGTACCACAAGGTAGGGCATGCTCCTGGCGCTGAATAATTTTCACCGGAATCAATCCTCAGCAAAGGCGCGGTGGCAGAGTGGTCTAATGCGATAGACTAGAAATCTATTCTCCTCGGAGGCGTCTGTTCGAATCAGGCCCGCGTCGATGGAACCGATCACTTACATGATCGGAGGTTTATCTTTTTGCGTACCTATGTCAAAGTACAAGATAGGAAATTGTCACTTGGTCTTCAGCTTGCTTGGTTCCAAGTCTCGGTTCACTATGTATGGCTTCGGCATCTCTCTTGAAACATCCAGAACTTTAGAGGTATGTTATCTCTGATATGTAAGGTCTAAATTTCTATTATTATCAGCATATATTCTGTTGATATATACCGGAGTAGTACCGAGTTCCGCGTTTTCCCCTATGGACTGGTCTCCGCCAGAGCAACTTGTGCATGGTATCAAAAATAATCCTCAATTAACCTCAGTTGCCAAAGTCCCACAATTTAACTAGGAGGCTATCTGGTTCGGCCTCAGCCTCCCCGCCATTTGGCGTGAAGACCTTTTTAGGGATGTGGAACTCGATAACAGGTGCCTTCTTTACATCCTTTGTCATCTCGGCTTCGAGGAGCTATGTGACTGTTAGCAAAGTTCCCTACATATATTGCCGAAGCAATGGGGGCTTACAGTGGCATAGGAATGGTCTAGGAAATCTTCGATGTTGTAAGATTGCTTCGTGAACTGCTCCGATATGATCTTGGTGATAGTTGCAACGTTAGGATGATAATGCGATTGAAGTTGAACAAGCTCCCAAAGGCAGCTTTCTATCGCATCTGTTTGCATAGGGTCCGCCTCTTCGGAGAGGAAAGGGTCATCAACACCGTGCTCCTCAATTTGCTTCTTCACCTCTGGATCTTGGACCTCTCGATGAATCATAAATGTGCATGTTGGGTGACGTTTGAGCAGGTTGTAGATCCAGGGAGTCACGAAAACGATAGCTCCAGGGGGTGCGTTGAGCGCAAGACGAGCAAGGCGCTTGATGAAGCTGGCCACCATGGCTGCTGGTAGATGTGTCGAAGCCAGAAATGTGTCTAGAAGACGGAAGAATCGGGATCGATGCTTGGAGTGAAGAATGTCGCGGTCGAGGAGAGAGTAGAGCTTGGTATAGAATGAGGGATAGTCCAGGTTGCGTTCCGAAATCAAGTAAAAGACACCGGACAGAGCCAAAAGAGACATCGAACCGCCCGAATCGTAGCAATTTGTCAAAAAGTCCGAAAGTAACTCAGGTTTTGTGAACCAAGGAGCAATCACGGTCGAGATGACGTTGAGAATTTGCTTTCGCTGGTCCTTTTCCTCAACGAGGGTCATGAGAGATAGCCATGCCTCCTGAGCTTGTTTCTTGTGCTGATTGACGTTTCGTAGATTATGTGTCTTTTTCTTTGGTTTGGGAACGAAGAAATCTTCAAGCTGATCGGCAGATTCAGGGACACCGTCCAAAGCTGACAAGAGCGCAAAGCATCGATCAAAGAGCTCTGGCGAAGCATTGCCTTCTTGTTTCTCCACAGTGTGCCTAGGTGATGGTCAGTCGACAGCTCCTTGAGTTAACGTTGGAAAAGAACCAGAGACGACTTACTTGACTGCATCGAAGGTAAAGTAACGGATATCGTCGTATTGCTCCACATACTCTTCCACATATGCCTTGATCACATCTTCATTTTCGCTCTCGAATAATGAGGAAACGATCTCTCGAAGGAAAGCTCGAGGGAATGTGTACTCGTCCTTGTCATAAAGGAACTCGCCCTCTGCCTTGAGTGTTTTCATGCACAAGGTCAATGCTGGGGTCGCCAACTCTTCATCCTGTAGAATAGTAACCAGTATTTTCTTGAACTCGGCATACCGCTCCTTCAGCCATCCCACAATAAAAAGGTCTTTCTCAGATAGAGTCTTCTTGGCGATCAAGGAGCCTTGAGTGAGTAATCGGATAAAGATTCGACACAAGACAACTGTAGAGAGCATGCTCTCTTGGCCCCCATTCTTAAAGTCATTTGCAGTACTGAGCAGAATGGTGAGGTCGTTATAGTTCTTCCGTGACTCGAGAATCCCTTCTTCCATTGATAGAATTTTCGCGCTGGCATCTTCGGATTCATTGCTGGATGCTGACGACGCTCTCTTTCGTCGCTCAGTGGTGGGCTTCTCATGAGTTGAGGAAGACCTCTTGCGCTTGAGACCCTCTGCAGAGGCCGCTTTTGGCATCGCGGGTTTCCTAGAGGGGTGTGATGAATCCGTTTAATATGATTTGCGCAATAAAATGAACTGCTAATTTTCACTTTTTCAGAAAGTGAAAGTCATTACTTTGAGAAAAACTTACTTCATTCAAGTTCATGAAAGCAAAATCTCGAAATCTTTCTTTGATCATTGAAAATTTGGCCAATCATATCCACCCATAAGCCAACGGTAAAATGCCGGCCCCAGATCTAAATCTGATGTATCGAGGTCACGTGTTCTTGATTGTTGCCGAACTAGCGCGATAAAACCTCAACCTCACTTCCAGCTCTCCGATCAACGACAAGCCCCGGATACCCCCATCACGAACCATCTCACAATGGCGTCACGCTTGGCACGAAGCGCCGTCGGTATGTGAAGAAATCTCGAATCCCTCGAACCGAACCCAATCCGAACCCAATTGGCGCACCGCCGACTCATGCTGACTCCCTGTAGGCGCTCCCCTCCTTCGACCCGTCCTCGCCCGCCGAGCTGCCCCTACCATCTCTGCTGCCGCCGCGCGATACAACAGCAATGTTCCCGCCGAGGACCCCAAGAAGAAGGCCCAGAGCATCATTGACGCTCTTCCCGGTAACAGCCTGCTCAGCAAGAGTGCCATCCTGAGCTCTGCCGCTGGTCTTTCCATCTACGCCATCTCCAGCGAGTACTACGTCATGAACGAGGAGACCATCATCGCCATCTCGCTTCTCTCAGTCTGGGGTGCCTTGATCAAGTACGGCGGCCCTGCCTACAGGGAGTGGGCTGAGACGCAGAACAACAAGATCAAGAACATCCTCAACAGCGCCCGTGCCGACCACACCGAGGCCGTCAAGGGCCGCATTGAGGACGTCAAGCAGATGGGCAGCGTTGTTGAGATCACCAAGAACCTTTTCGAGGTTTCCAAGGTAATTCTGAAGTGTCCATTGGATGGTAGCTAGAAATATGGCTGATTATGCTTGTGTTTGTAGGAGACCGCCAAGCTTGAAGCTGAGGCTTTCGAGTTGGAGCAGAAGACTGCTCTTGCTGCTGAGGCAAAGACCGTCCTTGACTCTTGGGTCCGATACGAAGGCCAGGTCAAGCAGCGACAGCAGAAGGAGCTCGCTCAGTCCGTTATCGCAAAGGTCCAGAAGGAGCTTGAGAACCCCAAGGTCCTTCAGCAGATCCTCCAGCAGAGTGTTGCTGATGTTGAGAGTACGTGTAGCCAATTATTGCCAATCAATAGCATTGCTAACCTTCCCCCCCCAGAGATCGTTGCCTCCAAGGCCCAATAGATAATTACACGCCGCCGCTAGAGTCTCGGTCCCTAGATTCCACGGTTTTTCTTTGTACCCCTTCTGTGTCATAACAACACCTGTGCATTAGCCGAATCAATCAAGACCCTAGTTACTTCATTGTCGGAAAGCTGTTACCCGTGAGATCTTGGGAAGTTTTGGGTTGATTGTTTTCAATTGGGTTTGTCGGAGCTTGTAAATTGCTCGTCGGGAAAGGTCGGAATCTCCGATATCGCCTATTCTCGGTGTATAGCAAATGTCCAAAACAAAACATTTCAGCACAACGACTTCGTCATTCCTGGTGAATCATTTCAACAAATGCCCTCCGTACACTGTTGGAGTATTTCGCAAACCGTCTCATTTGGTCACAATACTTCATAATGACTCGAGGTTCATTGAGGAATATGAGCATAGGTTGTCCTGAAAGTATCGTGCATCTACACATGATTAATCATACATGGAAAAGACTAGCAACCTCCAACGCCAATTCCAAAGGCAAATGCTCTATGCTTCTTGATATCTTTGTCCAAGAGAACCACCCCCTTTCGTCGAACATTTAGGAAATAGTAATTAAGAAATGCGTAAGGCAGGTAACTTGGCGAGAAATATTGAACGTGAGTATTAGTAGATCGGTCTCGATTCCTCCCACTTTTTAACATCAGGGTTTGCCTTTGTTGGCTCTGGCGACTCTACTTGAGAGTTAGGACCGAGTGATACCCGGCCGCTCCGTCGCCTCCTTGCTCCGTCGCCAGCAACAGGGCCAATCCACTCCCAAGCGCGACCTACCTCGCCGCTTCTTCCTTCGCGCTGACTGGTTCGAACATTGCTGTTTTGTTCGACAACAGCTCGAACCCGCTGCCAGATGCGTTCTCGCTCAGACAATGAGTGAATAGCCCGGAGGACGTCATCTCTCAAGTTCGGTAAAAACAACCAAGGATCATCGATACCTTCTTCACCTAGTTCCTTCTGATTGGCAAGTCTACCCAGCACTAGGTCGACGAGAGCAGGAACTTGAGCAGATGTAGCCACGTGCTTCCGATATCTGGCTCGCAAGTAGAAAATAACGAGAATTACAGCGATCAAAAATCCAGCTGGGAATTTATATCTTGCCAGGCCGAGTCGGATTGATCGTTTGAGCGCGCAGGTGTACGGAAGGCGAGCGAGAGACGAGGACGATAGCCGTCTGTCTGAAAGATCGGAGGAATTGGACGATCTGTAGGGTCAATGGTGGATCTGGTTAGTCAATAGTCAGAAACATTTAGAGCAATGAAATTGTCGCCAGATAGGTCGTGAAAGTCCTGAGCTGTGAAGAGAGAAAGAACTTACAGTGCTGTCTCAATGATCTCGACCTCTTCTCTAGCTGCGACCTCGCCAATGGCGGCAGCCCACAGTTCATCAAACTCGTCCTCGTTGAGTCTCTTGGACCTCTTGCGGCTCACGGTCGCCTTAAGCTCGTGTTCAGCCATCGCAGGAGATTCCTCTTTCTTGCCATCCTCACCAACAAGTTCTCCGCACTCATACTGAGCTCGGCGATCTCTGAGTTCCTCAATAGCCCTATCAGCTACAGCTTTAACGCGGCGCGCTTTCTCGCCATCCGGCTCACAAGTAGGAGGAAGTGGCACAAGCCCACCGAGAGACAATGGGTGCGGCTTGAGGATAAATCCATTCTCGCAACGAACCGAAAAGTCGTGGTAACAGTACGCGTGCGAAGGGCAAGGCTCGCACTGAGGCTCAACGAAAGGAACAAGAGCGTCGGGCACAGGAATGTCTTGCGAAAAGAGTGGTTTTGCTTGACCACCGACTTCGCAATAGCCAACCGCGATTTTCTCTTGACGATACCACGCAAGGTAGGCTCCAAAAAGAGACATCAAGAGTACAAAGAGAGGTGCCTTAAAACCACCTCTTCGAGATACCTGCTGAGAAGGCTTGCGAGGCTCGATCTCCATTTCGCCCCGACTCGCAGCTTGTTCCAATTCCAATTGCTCGTTCGGAGTGAACTCCTCGCCAGGTTCCAGTAAGTCCGGAGTCGGCTCGCGGTATCTTGGAGTAGGTTCAACATCATCTTCATAATCGTCATTGTAGCCACCTGTCCTGCGCCGGGACGATGACTTTACACTTCTGATGGAGTCGTCGGCAATTGTACGGCGGCGATTGGTGGGCGTTTTATGTTGAGCAGGCGAACTGCCACTCTGAAAAGGGTTGTCGTGAGTGAACACGCTTTCTTCGTGGTCGGGCAGGATTGTCTCTTCTTCTTGTGGCTCATCTTTGATCTGTGGCGTGACTGTTCTCCTCGGTTGGCGAATGGAACGAGGGGCGTCGTAGTTGTCGTGGTCGTCAGCGTGAGAGAGCGCACGGCTTACTGACCGTGTACTGCGCTTGGTAGGACTCCTGGGCACAGGAGTCGCCAGGACATTATCTTCACCCTTAACACGCGCCGAAGACTTTCGAGGAGACTTCGAACGTCTCTTGGTAGTCGACGGAGGTGGGAGTTCGTAGTCATCCCAGGTGCCGTTGTCTTCCGGACTGCCAGCATTCACGATTCCCATGCTCGATCTCTTGGCTCGGGCGCGCTGAGCCCGCAGCTTTGGGGCCTGCGCTAGTACATGATCTTCAACCAGCTCAACAAGTTGGGCCTTTTTTGCAGTCGCAGGGTACTCAACATTATGCGTGACAAGAATCGATCGCAGACGCGGAACAGTGACTGAACGTGGGTCAAACCCTTCCTCGAGGTAGTCCTCCATGTCGGCCATGGCGGCAGTCGAGACCAAGGAAGAGCACGATAAGCGAAAATAGTTTTAGAGCATAAACGAGGATGACGATGCGGGATGGTGTTCAGGCCGCAGGAATGAGACCGCCTATGCCTTGTTATGTAGACAGGACGAGAACAACAAAGAAGGGCCACGCAACACTCCCGATCTCCCACAATGACTTTATGAGACAATCAAGACAGGAGAAGATTGATCAAGTTTAGTCTTCACAGAAGAACAAACTGCAAAAAAAACAGCAAATTTTAGTCGCAGTGGGGGAATGGATCGTGTGAAAAGTGTATGTCTCTAGGTTGACAGGCGAATTGTTGATGACGGGCACGGGTGAGACCCTTGACGCAATGATAAATTGAGTAGCGCGGTTGTCTGTGGCAACTCAAATCAAGCTCGTGGTACAGAGGCACTCCCCTGTCACTTGACCCGCTGGATCTTCCACCCACCTCATGCGCCATGCTACCTTGTACCTAATAGCCAGTAAGTGTGCCTGCTCGGTGTACGGAGTAGCACCGCCACATATACCGTCAGCCACACGCTGCGCCACTTTGTTCCGCGAGCTACCTAGTAGTATCGAACGATTGAGGTACGGCTTGTTAAAGATTTGTTGGAGCTCCAAGCCATACTTTGCAAAAGGGTTTTTGCTTGGCTCTTCGAACTTAGGGGATCAATTGATATCAGACACCAATGCTGAATCGGAAATCTGTGCTGGGAAAGCCCGGCTTCGTCTGTCGGAGCTGTGTACGACAATATCAGTATCAGCTGCGCCGGGCTTCCACTTCAACACAGGACAATATCTATGATGTTGTATGTGTTGGCGGTGGGCCAGCAGGTCTGAGCTTACTGACAGCTCTTCGTGAGTTTTTTCTTGCCCGCTCAATCAACAAATAACTAACAAACAGTAGGGGCCAATCCTCTAACGGCTGGTCTCCGCGTTGCCCTCATCGAAGCCCAGGACCTTTCCAAAACCAAGTCGTTCTCACTCCCTTTGACCCAGTTCTCCAACCGATGTAGTTCTCTTACCCCTGCGTCGGCTCAATACCTCGACAAAATCGGTGCATGGCGGCATTTACAGCGTGAACGTGTGCAGGGCTACCAGGAGATGCAGGTTTGGGATGGAGTGACAGGTGCCCGTATAGAGTTCGACTGGCCACCCAGTACGACCGGGGACAAGACGATTGCCTACATGGCTGAAAATCTGAACTTGACATCCGGCCTACTCAAGAGATTGCAAGAACTCGGCGGAGTGGACGTCTTTGACAAGGCGAAAGTGGAGAGTATTGATCTGGGCAAGGAGATTGAAGACTTGGATCTGAGTGATTGGCCAGTCGTGCAGCTCTCAAGTGGCCAGTCACTAGTAGCACGACTTCTTGTTGGCGCAGATGGGGCAAACAGTCCAGTACGCACATTCGCCGGTATCAACAGCCGCGGATGGGACTATGGTAGACACGGCGTTGTGGCAACCCTCGAGCTCGAAGGCGAGGGCTGGGGCGGCCAATTCAACAAGATTGCGTACCAGCGATTCTTGCCTACGGGCCCAGTTGCAATGCTCCCTATGCCTGGAAAATACGCTACGTTGGTCTGGTCTACTACACCTGAGAAGGCGGCTTTGCTCAAGAGTCTGAGCCTCAAGGACTTTATCGCTATGGTCAACGCCGCCTTCCGTTTGAGTCCCGTTGACATTGCTTTCATGCATACGCAGGAGAATAACCAGGTGGAGGAACTATCTTGGCGCTTACAGCACACTCATGTTGACGCGGAGTCTCTTCCACAGACCGCTGTTGGAGTTCAGGAGGGGAGCATCGCTTCTTTCCCTCTGAAGCTGCGTCATGCCGACACCTACACTGGCGAACGCGTCGCACTTGTCGGCGATGCGGCGCACACCATTCACCCCTTGGCTGGTCAAGGCTTGAACCAGGGTCAAGGGGATGCCCAGAGCCTAGCCAAAACGATTGAGTATGCTGTCTCCCATGGTCAGGATCTTGGCACTCAGCTGTCTCTCGAGCCTTACAACAACGAGCGCTATGCCGCCAACCATGTCATTCTTAACGTTTGTGACAAGCTTCATAAACTCTACTCTGTCGAGAGTGGTCCTCTTGTGCCGCTTCGTTCAGTTGGTCTTCGGGCTGTCAATGCTCTCGGTCCCCTGAAGAATTTCTTTATGGAACAGGCTTCTGGGACTGGTACTAAACTTCTGTAGACTTCTGGCCAGACAGGCCAGACAAACCCTCCAACCCTCAAAGCATGTACTTTTGTCTGCAACACTAGAACTGTACATATCACACCCAAGAATAATGGAAATAAGATGATTCATTGCTATTTCAGAACACGCATCACCTCTACATAGCTTCTCGCTCGAGCACACGACGTTTGCGGGAGTAATTACCGTGGTCTCCCTATCAGCTATGATTACAAACAAAAGAAACCCATTCTAACCTTCTTTCTTTTCGAAAATGCTTCACCTATCGACCTCACCTATGATTGGATTAGCATGATTTCCTAGTAAACGAAAGGAAGAAAACTTACCGAACACCAGATCCATAGTACCAATAACCGCGACAGCATCGGCCAGCAAGTGACCCTTGGAGACGTGATCGAAGCCACCCAAGTGGGCAAAACCAGGAGCGCGAATGTGGCATCGGTATGGTCGCTCGCTACCGTCAGAAACGACGTACACACCCATCTCACCCTTAGGGGCCTCGATGGCAGAGTAAGTCTCACCAGGAGGAACAGCGTAGCCCTTGGTGTAGAGCAAAAAGTGGTGGATAAGTGCCTCCATGTTCTCCTTCATGGCGGATCGAGGAGGAGGAGAGACCTTGTAATCCTCAACACGGACGGGACCTGCGGGCATCTTGTTGAGGCACTGGTGAATAATGCGGAGTGACTGTCGGAACTCCTCCATTCGGCAGAGGTATCGATCGTAGCAGTCGCCATTGGTTCCAACGGGAACGTCGAACTCAACCTGGTCGTAGGCATCATATGGCTGGTTCTTTCGGACATCGAAAGGAACACCAGAACCTCGAAGCATCACACCAGTGAAGGAAAGGTTCAGGGCGTCAGTGGCGGGAACAACACCAACACCCCTCAATCGCTCAATCCAGATACGGTTATCAGTCAACATCTCCTCGGTCTCGTCGATTCGGTCGCCGAATTGGGTAGCCCACTGGTAAATATCGTCGAGAAGGCCAACGGGTATATCCTGATGAACACCACCGGGTCGAACGTAGGCAGCGTGGAGACGGGCGCCGGAAACACGCTCGTAGAATTCCTGGAACATGTCAATTGCTGATTTTCTTCAACCACGCATGATGCACCTACCATGAGCTTCTCACGCTCTTCGAACCCCCACAGGAAAGGTGTCAAAGCACCAACATCCATAGCGTGTGAGAGAACAGACATCAAATGGTTAAGAATACGGGTGATCTCGCCAAACAGAGTTCGGATAAACTTGGCTCGCTCAGGGATTTCGACGTTGAGAAGCTTCTCAACAGCAAGGGAAAAACATTGCTCGTTGGTCATCATAGAGACGTAATCAAGTCGATCAAAGTAAGGCAGAGCTTGGAGATAAGTCTTGTACTCGATCAATTTCTCAGTACCTCGGTGCAGCAGACCGACGTGGGGGTCCGCTCGGACGATCTCTTCACCATTGAGCTCGAGAATCAAACGCAACACGCCGTGGGCAGCGGGATGCTGAGGACCAAAGTTGACGGTATAGTGTCGAACCTTTCGGTCCTGGACGGAGTTCTCGCGCGACTTTCGGGTACCGGCTTTTCGGGGCTTGGAGAGGCCGTAGGCATCTTGGGCGGATGAGAAGTCCTCGTCAACGGGGACGAGTCTGGTGCCGACGGGCTCGACAGCGGCGGCATACTTTCGTAGGCAGGTCGTCGAGAAAGGGCGGGCGGCGAATGTTGCTGGCCGCATGCACAGGCTCTTGGCGCCTCGGCTGGCGAGTCGGAGAGAAGCCATTGTGTAAAGAGCAGAGAGGGGACGGCCGTTAGTGAGACGAGATGTGTAGAGTCTCCCGAGAGGGCCTCTGGCTCGAGGTCAATGGCAGGTTGATGGAGGGGAATTCGCCTTCGTGATAGTGGCCGTCATCTCCCGCGGTCCGGGGATCTGTGTCGAAACCTGGGCGCTTTGCTCTTGGTGGTGGGCCGGACTATTGTTCTTGCGGAGGACTAACCAATCAGAGGTCAACTATTACTCGTTGATTTTTCCACTCCGCGACCAACATCTGTCACCAATTGCATCGCATCACTCGGCCGAGTAGTATACTGTAATTGAGAAAAGTCGTTCTACAAACTTGTACGGGTTTCTATCTTGTATGGTTCAAGGTGTTTCGAAAAACATGTATTGATTGAGATTTTGTATTCTTCTTATGAAGAACAACCTTCACTTTTTGAATAACCCGAGCTCATCGCTGCAACTTGCCGCTAAGAATCGAAGCCGTCATCTATTCTCTAGGCCCAAGACGAGGAATTCTTGATTTGCCCCAGCTAACAATTCCCGGATAAGTGAGAATAGTAACTCATACAAGGCACTTTTGATCTCTGAGTTAATCTTGACTGCAAGGAAAAGACTGAGTAAACTTTGGTGATACATTTCATCGCACAATCTTGGAGCTGTAAATGAAGTTGATCTTGCTCCTCTGCATTTTCTTTATCTCTGAGATGAAACTTCACATGCCTAATGTCAAGTTGAACTAGCGTTCTGATTGATATGATAAACGACTGCATTATAAGTGTTATCTTTTCAGTGTCAGGTCTGCATCTTCCTTTACTCCTATTCAGCTATATGTAGTTCGCTCCTCAACAGACCAAACAGAACCTCGTCTAGCATTTCCCCATTCTTGCAAACAGCACCTCTCCTGGTGCCTTCTTCGACGAGTCCAGACTTCCTTAGTACATTCTGGCTTGCTTTATTGCCCCCATTGGCACACGCCTCGATCCTGTTTAACTCAGGCCATGTTTCGAAGCACCACCGTATGAGTGCCTTGGCAGCTTCAGTTGCATAGCCTTTCCCCCAGGCTGTCTCAGCCAACCAGTAGCCCATCTCCCACGTGCGGAAATAGACGTCGTTCTTGGCCATCATGCCTATAGTGCCTATAAACATCGGTTCCGACGAAGGGTTCTCTGTTGCGTTGGCCTTGACAAAGATGCCACAGTGTTGACCACCGCCGTCAAAGTTATTGGCTACGTTGTTGATAAAATACAATGCATCGGCCAGTGTGTAAGGGGATGGGAAACCATCGCGCAGGTTTTTGGAGATGGACTTGTTGTCAGCTGCTTGGGACATGACTTCTGCATCTGACGGATAGAATCGACGGAGGATGAGTCTTTGCGTCTCGAGTATTCTTGCTCCCGGCTCCTCGCATGTTGGCGAAGTTGCTGTCAACTTTCTTGTGTTGGCCATGGTGGATGCCCCTTGAAGTAGATAGCAAGTTCGTCTGATCAAGTGGTGTTCTCCAAGGCGCAAGTGTTTGTGATGTTTCAAACAAGAACAGCAAATTAGAAATAGTGTAACTCGGGCTTACTTCGACAGTCCAGAAGGTGAGATGTCTCCAGCTAATGAGTTGGTCTTTATAATCCAATACGTATCTGCCGATATGAGCACTTCAGTGACTCACGACAGCGATGCCTCAAAAGGGGCTATCGTTGCCGTGCTCGCCGATATACAAAAGTCCCTACACGCAGCTAGTGTCTTATCCGTACAGGCAGTTGCATTATATGCCGCCAGCAAGTGGAGGTTACGACAAGTCCAGAAATAGAAGTATAATCGAACGATACGTAGCAAGCCACCCGGATTTCGTACCTAGGGGACGAAAGAAAACTCAGAACTTTGGTGCTAAAAACGAATTAAAAAAATTCAAGTAACTTAGCAAAAGTTTAGGCAAAGTTTAGGATAGCTTTTGTTAAGGTTATTTTGACACCTCATATCAAAGGTATGATGTTTTCTTGCTCTCACCTATGTAAGTACTCATTAATACTGGGTGAAAGATACTACTGGTTCGTAATCCTTGCACAAATTCGACAAGGCGTTAACCTTTTTTTTTTATACGTAACGACTATAGTGAATTGTATCTATGGCTACCGCAGCTTGTTCTATGATGCGGCCCGCTGTGCAAAACAACCCGGTAGTGAGTTATGAATAAGTAAAGTGGAATGGAAGAGGACCATCTCAAGGCTCTTTCGTGTTTCCTCATGACAACTACATATCAATTCCCTAGTATTATCAGCACCTGCTGGTTGATATAACGAGTAATATTTTATTATTGTAACCATTATTATACGCTAAGCGCCATACCTTCTCCTAGAAGAACAAGACCATAGCCCGTTTTGACGAGATGCCAGTAAATGCCTTGTATCGAATGTCAAACCGGGCAAAACAGAGCATGCCACTATGGAAGATACACGCTAGCGTTTTGGTAACCTTTGTTTCCCATTTGATCCACTCCATGTCAGGTCTCTACCGTTCCCTTGATGCCGAAATCTATCTCTTCTTCTCCCTCACTGCCGAGCCGCAGGAGCATTAAGGTATACATTTAGACCATAGGGGCCATTGTTTCTGCCAACGCCGCGACCAAGATCGAATGATGTAGGCCGTTATGAACAAAGGGGGAATAAAGAAAAAGGACAATGCCTCACTATCCCCGTTGGGGAGAAAACGCCGCAAACAGACCAAAACGAACAATAATAAACTTTTAATGAACCCCTCGCCATGCCCCAGAAGATGCAACGAACGACATCCCGCTTTGTAGTGATGAACAGTGCTTTTGTTAGGAAATGTGAAGGATGACCTAAAGGTCATGTTGTGTTACTGACATAGGAAATTATGGCCATGGCCAAATTGTAAATGATGGAATTTGGAACCAACCCCGGAAACGCCAACAAAATCATATCAAGATCTCCGAGCAATATTGACACCTGGGTTGACGAAGGCTCTGTATGCAATGTCGCAAAGACGTCGCACGACGTTGGTCGTTCCACCTGTGACCTGAGACTCATCGAAAATGAACTTGGATGCAACTGAGAGTCTGTTCTTAGGGTCACTCTCGTCGGCATGTTGAGGAGCAGCATTGCCGTAAGGAGAATCGAAATGTGGAGCAAGTTCTCGAACAACTGCAATCGAGTAGAGAACATCGCGGTTCTCACGACCATCAAGTAGATAGCGCATTCTCGAAAGTATTTCCTCCCTAGGCTTGGGGGCAGATGGACCAGCGGGATCCTCCCGCGTACGCACGAACTCGGCCAGGCTATGCCAGAAATCAAATTGTCGGCTTCGGTAATTGTCAGGGTCTTGCATTGGTGGGCAGAGTGGGTTGACTGATAGATAGTCTCCACACAAAAGTGCCTCAACAACTCGGACACGGTTTTGGGTCTCCTTCGCATCACCATCGTGCGGCAGCGTTGTGGTAACGATAGCAGAAGCTGTAGCGGGAGGATTGTATGCTGCTCGCGCAAGCTCCCACACAAGGCGCGTCTCAAGAATACCAGAGTAGGCCATCTGGGTTTGATCGTTGACCTTGACAGCCTCCAAAGCCTTGAGAAAAGATGCCATCAATTCGACGAGGCGCTGGTTTTGCGGAAACGAAGGTGATCCATTTTCTGTGAAGTGGTACCATCCGGATTCGAAGAAAGAGGCAAGCCCAGGTGCGTACATTTCATGATACACCTTGGTAATTTCATTGCGAGTCCCCTCAGTGTGGGCAACATTCTGGGACGGAGGAACTGTGCCCAGGAGATCGATAATTTCATCAATCTTCATTTTGTTGGCTGTCAGAAACGCGCGTAAGCAGATGATCTCAACAGCAGCGCAGCAAACGACGAACAAGGGTGAAATCAATAGTAGGGGGCGCCACCTCTAAGATGTTGGTTGTTGTCAGCAAGAGGCCTTTGTTCAATCGCTCTAGAGCTTTCCGCGTTTGAGGTTGATGAGAATCCTTGAAGGGCTGGGTCGATTGCGGGCGGATACTCGTATGTCGACTCGGATTTGACAGGAGGAGATGCAACGTTGGAAAAACTCGAGTCGTAGCTAAGCGAGGTGATAGACGGGTTAGGGCTTGCTGTTGTCGCGTGAGCTGTTGCATACGAGCTTGGGAGCATAGATGGCTGGCTGCCGTATGAGTTCGTTGGTCGAGCGGTAAGGGCAGTGTTGGGCGCTATCGACGAAGGGACAGTTGAAGGCACAGAGCTTGGAACTGTGGGAGGAGTCCTTTGGCTGGGCGCAGGCTGGATATTGGAAGATGATTGTCCACCCGCTTGTTGTCTGAAAATGGGGTCGTAACCGAGACACTCGCGCTTCGACTTTTTACAGTTGTTGCAAGTCGGGTGTGTTTCATCGCACTGGGAGATGTTAGAGCTGTGTTAGGCGGGGTGCTATCTCCACCAAAAAGTAGAGAGGGGGGGTTGTGCAGCTGCCTAGGAGATGCACGGTAGCTGTGACCAATGGCAAGCTAAGCAGAGCTCCCAAAACCTCGAGGAGCTAAGACTCCAAGGCAATCCATTTACTGGACGCTCTGAGGTTGGAATTGGGCGATTGCGATACAAGCATTACTTGGGGAAATCTGGGGTGCTGAGTGCTACGTGAACGTGCGTCTTGCTTGTTTCTGTGACCTCCTGGCAAACGAGCAGGTGTGCAAGAAGCTGCAAGCTTGATGCAGCACAGGGTTTTGGATAACCTGCTATAAGCTCACCACCTGCGACACGTATCTGAAGCCCGCCTTCTTCCCGAGTCATCTTCTTGATTCGTCGCGTCCCATCTCGTGTTTCAAGGTCACGAGCTGCACAAGGGGAGATAAGTATGAAATCATAGCTCACCTTTATACGGCGTTTTCTGCAAGTCAGACAGCCTGTTTTTGTCCGACGTTTAATTTCCTACAGTTCAAAGTCAGCTTCTATCTCCAAACCCTTGGCTAGCTCTGGACTGTTGTAACGAGACCCCTAACCAAGCTTCAATACACACCTTCTTCGGTCCCCTGTGACCCAGAAGCCTCGGATCGTGAGGAATAGCATAACGAGCCATGGAATCGGGAAGACCGTAGCTTGCCATCGGCATGCCTTGGTGGCTATAGAATGGCACACCGCCTGACGTGGGCGCCATATGCATGTTCATCGGCATGCCCTGCGGATTAGATACCGGAGGTCCATGTGGGTTTTCGATTGTTCTCATGCTAGGCAGCGGCATACTGACGGGCATAGGACTCGGTCTGTATGGCTCCGTTGCTTGACTTGTGACTACAGGATAAGGGGCATATTGGGCGGCTGGTTGGCCTGCCGAGGACGCATAAGGCATCGAGGAGCCCGGATAGCTCACATGCTGACCATGAGGTAGCCCTGGGTGCTGGTTGGACATTTCTGAGTTGGGTGTGGGTGTCGAAGCAGCCTCGGGGGCCCTGCTGTCGCCGTTCTGCTGAGGAACCGCGGGCGGAGCGGCAGAGGCAGCAGGAGCCGAGGCTGGCGTGGGAGACGGCACGGAAGAAGAGACGGCGAAGGGTGCGGATTCGGAGGATGCGGCGAGTGTAGAGGTGGGAACTGGAGCGGTCGTCGAGGCGGTCGGGCGGTCCGCAGCCGTGAACGGCACTGAAGCAAGCTCGGTGATGGGTGGTAGTGTCGTCTCGGCAGCAGCAGTGTTGAGAGGTCCAGCAGTCGTGTTGGAAGCTGGAGGAGCGGTGACAGATGTAACTATGGGAGCTAGAGAAGAAGACTTCGATGTCGGGGCAGAAATTGTAGGATTATTGGGAGAGTCACCGTGACTCTGCCCATGGTCTTCTTGAGCCATGTTGTTTTTTAATTAGAAATTTTTATGGAGCCTCAAAGCAAAGTCAGGAAGAAGGTCAAGCGACCAGGGGGACGCGACCCTGGGTCACGGAGGAAGTCGAAGTGCTGGCGCTGGGCAAGGAAGATCAAGAGGAGCCAAAGCCAGGGCGTGGCAGGGGGAGCAAAGGCGTGCAAGAGGGGCAGAACCCAGGACCAGGGGTCGCGACACGATGCGACGGCGATGCAACTGCCACTGAGAGTAAAAGCAAGAGTCGCGATGATGGATGGGGCCAAGACCATCGACAGGTGACGCGCTGGAGGAGGAGGAAGAGGAGCAGCAGCAGCAGCAGCAAGAGCACAGCGAAGAGGAAGATCGCAAGACCCAGGGGTCCAAGAGGCGGGATCGGAAGCGAGGCTCAGAGGCTGAGCTCCAAGATCGGGGGCAAACAGGAAATAGAGTTGGCACGTCCTGTCCCTTCGTCGTCGTCGTCAAGCATCGAAGATACTAGGTATACTGTACTGTACAATACTATACAACAGAATAACTGGATCGCCCCCTGCCCGGTTGCCGCGTGGTAGTGGTAGTGGTGGGAGTGGTGACCGTGGTGGTGGTGTTGGTGTTGGCCGCCGGGTCCCAGTAAATTGAAAAGTTCTAGTGGAGACGGGCCGGGCTTTGTAGGCCGATGCCCATACGGGATGATCGATACTCGACAAACAAGCGCCGCACGAAGATGGTCCAGTGAGCGACCTGCTTCACTCTACTTGTAGAACTTATGCAACAGACGGACGGGTGTGTAAACGAAATGGAGGCGAGGTATTTGCCCAGAGAACAGTTGGCGGAGGAAGAGACAGATACAAAGGAGAGGAGCCTCGCTTATTGAGAAGGCTGTTTGATGAGGCGCTCAAGGACGGGTGCGAACAAACAAACAGTCGGTCTTCAAAGTTTGCAAAATTGGAGTTGAATGGATGTATGGTTTCCATTTCAGTTCCTAGCATAACGCATCAATCGAGCAAGCAGCTGAACGGAAGAATAGTAGCTCCAGCTAGAGCCTCTTTGGAGCTGGAAGCAGCTGGAGGTGCATTAGCGGCGCATCGCCCGTCGAACGACAGATCTTGGCCAATCTCAATCTTCTTCAAAGCTTTAGTTACCTTGTATATAAACTTCACACAGACATGGTTACTCCATAATCTCAATCTCATGGATACAGAAATATCACCTACATATGCTCATCATCTCAAGTCGGCTACTACCTACTAACGAGAATTTCTTTTTTCGCGTTTCTCCTTTACTCGCTTGACTAGACCCCTAGTATCCAGCAATTCTGGAAGCACTATAGAAGCTGTTACCGTGCCCAAGCTCTGTGGAATACCTAACCCTGTTAATGAGGCGCAATACCGGACAAGGTATCCGTATAGCATGGATGATTAGGTTAGCTTGGCAGAGATTCCGCGAGGATTAGTTGACTGTGTTTATAATACATACTCATATGTGTTGTTATGCAATACATTTCAATGAGGCTGGCCAGCATATAGCGGAGTACCTGAGGAGACGGATAAGACCTGTCTGTTACTCCGTACGGGCAGCCATGATCTTGTATTGTCTCCGGAGCGCCATGTATCTTCAATCTAGCAGAGGATTAAGTAAAATGCAAGCATCGATTAGAGTTCAAGGCTTCATCTGCACAGGCGCATACAAGAGTTATGTCCGTGTACCGTACTCTGCATGTGGTATGGCCTGGGCAATCCTGGCTTGAGTTCGATACAAGGCGGCAACTGGCTTGATTGTGTGCCACTCATGGCCTATCGGGAGCAAGGTTCTCGTCCCGTCGTAGACTCCAACGCTCAATACACCCCTATTCTCTGTGATGAGCATGAGCAGGAGCTCAAGTTGAAAAGTTCCGACTGAGATTAACGCTTGGGCTAGACCTGGATAGTCAATCTTCAGTGGAGGTCATCTGGGGCCTAGCTGTCATTATCCATTTGTTGTCTCTTGTCTCCTTGCATAGATAGGCAGCCAACCACTGCACTGATCTGCGTATCCGTATCTCATCCATCCTCAATCGAACGCAGACAGCTTCGAACTTCTCCAAAAATGTCAAAGTCAAATCCCCGCAAGCCACTGACCCCACAGCACATCCCTAAGAGACTTTACTTTCCTTCCAAGTCATTCTATAGGAGCCACTAATGTCAGGTACCAACCAGACGGTGCTCGCTGGCTCGAACCCAACCAGCAAGTGGAAGGAACCAAAGCTAACTGCCGTCCCTCCCTTACCTCTCTGCCTTTCCCTTCTCTGTTTCCATTCGTTCATTGTTCTTTGGGATGAGTCATACAACGTACCTGTCTACCTACTAAGTTATCCACTCCATGCTTCGAATTTAGATTTGCACTTAATTCTTATTATATCAAACTTCGAAACCCAGCTACTCCGACCGACTCCGTACTCTGCAAGATTACCTTTCGTCACAATCGTCATTTTTACCTACAAAAAGTATCCCTTTATGTCCTTTCTCCGGTCGTTTCTCACAAATAGGTACCCGTCGGGCTAGGTCACGGTGAATTGCAAATCTTGCCGTTGTCCGCACTCCCCAATCTTAAGATATCCAATATCATCTCCCCCCCTCTTCCAATTTCAGCAAATCCGAAATCCCTGCTCTCTGTGTCACTTCGTCTTGTTCCATCTCAAGGAGATACTTACCAAACTGGGAGCCAGAAGCCTCAAAACAGGCGCCGTTCATGCATGCACCATAACACAACGAGACGACTGAGTGTCTTCAACCGTCAGTTTGTTCGGTCATGTTTTGGCTTTCTGGCCGTACCCGTACACGATATACATAGATGCCTACGTCCAATGGTAAGGTCCCGACGTAAGCGAGACGAGCCTCTCCATAGCTTCAAGCCATGGTTCGCTAATGAACCATCCACCCATATGGATCCCACCCAAGTGCAGCGGATCCTCAGACCTGGTCCATTCCTGCACTGTGCTCTACCTATAGGTACAAAGTCGCAACGGCAATGGCAATCACCCACCAACCCACCCTCCCTCCTCTCTGTAGAAGCAAACATCCCGGCTGACAGACGGCGACGGGAAGCAAGCGAGCGAAGGCCGTCAAGCAAGGGGTGTTGAGGGAGGGTGTCTAGCCAACCGGCTTTTCTTTCCTACGCATCTCACTATCTCGCCTTACTGGTCGCCTGCCTGCTCCCTCTCTCGCCTACCATTAGTTCCCGGATTCCTGGAACGCTGACCTTAAACTTGACCACTGCTTGCTGGCTCAGTCCTTAGCCCCTCCCTCCCTC